ATGTCCTTCAACACACATATTAAACAAATATGTAAGACTGCTTTCTTCCATTTGCGCAACATCTCTAAAGTTAGAAATATCCTGTCTCTTTCTACTATTCTGTGCCTCCCTCATCCAGAACGGAATTAAACATTTTCCTCCTCACATACAAGATGTTGAATAATCAGGCTCTGTCTTACTTCCAGGCGGGACTACTGTAATTCATTATTATCAGGATGTCCTAAAAACTGCCTGAAAAGCCTTCAGCTAATCCAAAATGCTGCAGTGAGCGTACTGACGGGGACTAGAGAGAGCAGATTTTGACCACACTGGCTTCTCTTCCTTTTTGATAAAGCCCACAGGGCTGTGTTAGATGACCTTGAATTCTCCGTCAGTTACCCTGCAATAGGCCTATATTTATACACCACTCTGTATTTAACCATTAATCTGTGTCTTTGGTCCCGTCTCCGCCCCCTCAGCCCCTCAGCGGTCGGTCAGATTGAGCCTGGTTCTGGTGTTTCTGTTAACAGTGAGTTTTTCCGTTGTACTCTTGCCACGTATGTGCTCATAGGGACTTTTCTGATTATTGTGGGGTCTTAATAATATAAAGTTTTCTAAGGCAACTATATCAACTAACGGTGTGAGCATGTCGCGCGCTCCCTGTACGCACGAGCACTGGGCATGTCCCGTTGCCATAGCACCGCAGTAGGAAACCCACAACAGCAGGCGCACTACAGCGATGTCTGCCACGGGGGGGAAAGAGGGAGGAAAGCGGCGATGCCCCCTGCTTCTGAGACCGTACGTTAAGTGTACTCTTTTCACTGCAGCTCTCTGCACGTACACGCAGCCACGGTCACTTGTTGTTTTGCTGCCTTCCAGCTCCTCTCGCACCACCTCAGTCTCACACGGAGGCCCACGCGGAGCTCACCAGCGTTCCAGACAAACCACGAGTGTGCTGGGCTGTCACAGCAGGCGGAGCCTCGGGGGCAGCAAAGTCCTGGAGAAGAACGTGGCTCAGACTCCCAGACAGGCTGTTCGGGTACCTGAACATCACAGGGACACTGTCCTCACAGTCTGTGGGTCCTCTGAACAGTTTGTAAACGAGAACACCAGTCACAGACTCGGTACTAGATTCAGATTAGACGCGGTTTCTCATCAGTTTCACAGAGTAAAGACCCGCGTCGTAGACTGTGTTTAATGCATTTATATACTGAAAGTTTAAAGAAGTAGGCTTACATCAAACTCAGGCTGTAGTCACAGTTTTATTTTGCAACCCAGACAAAAACACAAGACTTCATTTTGTGGATTTGTTTTCATGACTGATTATTCTGATGCCTCTAAAATTAATTACATTCAACTACCACTCACCAATTTTTTATAGCAGTTACCTGAGTGCTTTGTGAAAAAGGCAATAAAAGGAGAGATGCAGGTAGTGGAGTTAAATACCATGATGTAGCAAACATGTAGTGACGTAGAAGTACCTCCAGTGTGCCCTTGGGTGCACTACCAAGTTAGCTGTAGCTGGCTTCTGTGTTTCTTGCAGGTGTTTGATGAAGTAAACAATGATGTCACTCCTCAGCCGCTGTACCAGGCTGATCCAGGAGCAGTGCAGCCCATGCTGTTTGTGGATGAAATCTCTGTGGGCTCAGCATCAGACCAGCCAACAGCCACGGGCAGCTTCACTCTGCCTTTCTCCAGGTACCAGAGTCTGAGGTGATGCAGCTGGAGCTGCTCTGTGTGGCTTGAATGTGTGGAGTGCAAATGTTAAAGCATTGCTTGAATTTGAATATGAGTTTTTTCTGCAGGCCTTTCCATGTATTATCTTTTCTAGTAGCCAAGTTCTCATCGGTACGTCGTTGTTCCGCCATACCTCACGTGGCTGTTATTAAGCTCGGTGACGTCCACGCCGGTGTGGCTTGTCCCTCGCTCGTGTTCTGAGGTTGGGCAGCATTGTGGTTGTAACCTGGGGACCCTTGAACCCTGACCTATCCTCTTTTCTTTTAAAATCTTTGATATGTGAACGTGATTGAATCAGTCGGGGAACTCCCAGTGATACAGGTTTGGGTGGAAACCATTACATTACATTTAAGCTCAGTAATTATAAAACAGTAGAAGTTTGAATTAACCAGGGCTGCTGAAGCACAGCTTCTTACTAACTTGTGCCACCAGTTGAGCAGGTCCATGGTGCAGGGAGACAGCCAAGCACTTCCTGGAGAGAGCGAGGACAAACTGTCTAAAGTGACTGCAGGTTACACACTTCACCCTGTAAAAATGTGCTCGCAATGTTTCCAGGTCAGTATTTGGCAGCAGCAGAATATCCAGCCAGTCCACCACAGAGTCCGTGGATGACGAGGACATGTTTTCTAAACGTGACATTCCCATCAGTTTTCCAGGTGTGTTTTTGAGTACAGCGTGCATTGTTTTTTTAAATGCACGCTGTATGTTTTCCCTTTATCCTTTTGATTACTGCGTTCATGGCGTTTGAGCTTGTGTGGTGGTTAATGAGCACAGTTAATGCAAACTAAATGTTTTTTTAAATCTCCAAATATTACAGTGACTAAAGCTCTCAGTTCTCGGTCACACCTACAACGTATCTTTGTGGTGTTTATAAGAGTTTGTTCATATATTTTCTTGCTAGATGTGAAGGTAAAAAAGGACACGGAGAAAGAACAGGTGACAGAGGACATGTTGAAGGACATCACAGAGGTCTTTATCTC